TGGGCAGAGATTGGGGACTTGGGGGATAGAGGGCTTAGCAATACTATTGCCAGAAAAGTAAAAAGAAAAAAAAAAGAAAAGATGGTCAGTGAAGTGAACAGAGTGAACAGAAAATTAACAAAAAAAAAAGAAGGAAATCCAGAAGAAAACACAGGCAGTTGAAAGTAGTATGACGAATTAGAAGAAAACACAGATACGCAGGACTTAATCTATAATAATTAAAAATCACTATTTTTAATAAGTTGAAAGTAATGTATTGAATCTGTTATATGCTTTTATTAAAGCAAATGTACACAATAGAGATTCATGGTTTCACATATCTTCATTTTATGTTCTATTTTGTAAATAGAAATTTTGTGAGGAGAGCCAGAGGGAATTGTTAAGTTCAAAATAAAAGTTTAATTTTTTAAGGTTAGTGTAAAGTATGGTTTTAAGTGGACAGACTGGTACAAGAAATCCAATTAGGAAACTGTTACAGTAATATAGTCAAAAAGAGAAAGAAAAAGAAAGAAAAAAAGGACCTAAAGAAAGTCTTTTGCAATGGGAACTAACAGGAGGCTGCAGTTGCAAAACACTTCAGAAGAAGAGTCAATTAAGCTTAGCAGCTAATTGGACTGTGGAGTGAGGAAGAGAGAAGAGTCAAAGAGAATTCTGAAGTTGCCAGCCAGAGTTTCTGAGTGGCAGAAATAGACAAGTTAGGAGGAAGTTTAAGGGCAAAGATATATTCTTGTTTTATGCATGTTATGCTCTGAGATGCCCCCAACTGTGCAGGTCAAGCATCTAGCTGGAGATACCCAGCAGACAAGTGGAAATATGAGGCTAGGGCGCTATTGAGAGGTTGGAAGTAGAGCTTTATTTGGGATATATATATATATATATATATATATATATATATATATATATATATATATATATATATATATATATATATATATATATATATATATAATATATATATATATATGTGTGTGTGTGTGTGTGTGTGTGTATACATATGTATATGTATATATGTATATATACATATACATATACATATGTGTATATATACATATACATATGTATATATACATATACATATACATATACATATGTGTATGTATATATATACATATACACACACATATATATGCATGTACATATGTATATGTATATATATACATACACACACACACACACATACATATATATATTATATATAATATATATATATATATATATATATATATATGCATGGCATATTTGAAGCCATTGGTAAGGTTGCCTCTACAAAAGTTGTAGAGCTGATAGCTAATTTTTAATAATACTTAATATTTATTTAGTGCTTACTACATGCCAGGCACTATGCTAAACACTTTGTAATTATCTGATTTGATGCTCAAAAGAACCCTAGGACATAGGTGCTATTATTATTTTAATTTTACCTTTAAAGAAATTGAGGAAAATAAGAGTTGCTCAGGGTCACACAGCTTGTAAGTGTTAGAGGTCAGATTTGAAATCAAGTCTTCCTGACTCCAGGCCCAGCACTCTATCCACTATACCACCTACCTGCCCCTAGTTTCTTTTCTAAGTGAGAAGAGGATTAAGGATAATTTCTGGGGAGTTACCCATGCTTAAGGTTATATCATATTTCATTTTCCATACCCTAACCCCAAATAATTATCCCAGCCCTTTTCAAAATGACTACAAAAATGACTTAAGGAGATGTGTTTGCTACTGATATGAACATAATCACTTCCAACAATTAATTTTTTCATTCCAACTTGAGTGCCAAACTAATTTTACTGGAGAAACTATAAGAAGAAGATGTAGGGAAAGTGATCTCTTTTTTTTTCACTCTAGGCAAAGTATATAAGACACTTGATTATTGTGCATACTGATAACATTACTAGACCAAATTCATGTGTTAAGGCTTTTTTTTGCCTCATCTTTAATGTAGAATTAATCAAAGGTCAAGCCAATTAGAAAGTAAGATGACTTTTGTAAGTGTAATTTCTTATTTTGGTTTGCTAACTTAATTTTCTTCTTGATAACAAGAAGCCAACTGGATGTTTGGCTTCGGTGGGGTGTTGGGGGGTGGGGGGAGAATTGCTTCATTAAAAAGGGAAAAATTTATGAAATTGAACCGAGTGGAAATTTTAGTCATTGCTCAAGAAATTGTTTTGACCTAAACTGTAGGCTGTTAGAAAGGGGAAACAACGTCTGCCCTTTGTATCAAATCCCCAAATGTTCTCAAATGTCCCTTTATACACATGAACCCTTATGCAGCAAACATAGATGGGTTTTCATGATTGTGTTCAGTTAATATATGTTTTTGGATTGCTGAGCATGAATTAGGTCAGAGAGACAGCATAACTAATTATCGAATACAAGATGTTGAAAGACTTGGGAGTTTGAAAAGAAAGAGAAGCAAAGAATTTAAAAACCAGATTGAAAAATAAAATTGTCAGAGCCATTAGAGTAGTACAAAGGAGGAAATAATGAGCTTGACTTCTCATATAAAGTATGGGAAAGTAGTAGAAACAACTAAAATTGGAGTTATTGTAGTATTGCTGGGAACTGCAGTATATTCTTACCCAGGGAAGTTAGAAGTGAAGCACCTTCATCAGTCTCTTCAAACCCCTTACCCACAGATCCAAGGTATGAACTGGGGCATAAACAATATATATCTCATATATATTAACAGTATGTCTCATAGCAAAGGTAAACTTCTCTTAAACTGTAGATTCCTTTGGCAGAAGCTACATAGGAGTGATACAGTAGCTCTCCACTACATCTGGGCCTGAAATGGGATGAAGCTGAGGAGATTGATTCTTCTATGATCTGAATGCAATAATCTGAATACCATCCTGGTCTCAAAATTCACTTTGATACAATTCTATTGTGGCTTCCAAATTTCAGTATGAGTTCCAAATTTCAGGAAGAGTATCGTGTGGTCCTGTACTGTGGACATTGTATCTGGTGACCATGATGACATATATATGCAATAGTTAGTTAAAAGAACACTGGCTATAAACCTGTTAGAATGTGTGTCCTTTGTGGGACAAGAATATAGCGGCATGATATAATGAAAGAACATTGGATTTGCAGTTAAAGGACCTGGGTTTAAATCCCAGCTCTGTCATTTACTACTTGAGTGATTTTTGAACAACTCACTTAGCTTATCTGGCTCTCAGTGTCCTCATCCATAAAACGTAAGGTTGAATTAGCTGGCATGCAAAGTCCCTTCCAGATCTAAATCTATGATTCTATGATAATTAGAATACAAGACATATTTTACTTCCAGTTATGTATAATGGTTGCTATTTAGGAACTTTCCCCTTTTCCCCATCATCTGTCTAATTTTTAAAATGTTAATTACAAACAATTATTATTTATAAATACAGCCAACTCTCTCAGTGATTTAACAATAGGTATTTTCTAAGTAAAGCAATAGTTATACTATTAGCAAAATTCCATTCAGTTTGAAAAAGACGTGGAAGATTAGTGGAATAGATACCACATTACTTTAGATTCTATAAAGAAGAGACCAACTCTTAAGCTTCCGTACATGGATTATCCATTTTTGTCAATCATAAAATCCTTGAATTAGAGGATGGCTGAGATATCATAAAGGCTAATCACTACTACTATGAATTATCCATGGCAATGTTTTAATCTCTTGTTGGTTTTCCACAGCTGTTTTCCACTAACATATTTCTGGGCATTGATTGACCTAGGAAACCAAATTACTTTAATATTAAACACAAAATTCAGAAGACAGTGAAACACAGTGGAAAGAAGATTAGCCCTGGAATCAGAGGCCCTGAGTTCAAATGCTAACATTGATAGTTACCTGGTGACCATAGTCATCCCTTCTGGGTCTCACTGTCTTTCTGTACAAAAAATGGAGTTTGAACTAGATGGCCTGAGATCTCTTTGGCCTTTATTTGTAATTATATAACATATGCTGAGGAGGAACCCCACATTGTTTATATTTTTGGCTTTGAAACTATTTGAAATGTCTTAATTGGTTGTTGTTTGAGGTTCTCCTTACCCCATGTGGCCACTGACATTAAATATCATTAAATAAATTAACTTATTGACCATAAAAGATTATCTAGTAAACTGTAATTTCTCATAACTCTCTTCTATACAGTTTCCTAATATTTGACCAAATTTGTTATACTAGAATGACCTTGTATTAACTAATCCTGCTGATTGGCAGTAAGGTTTGATTGTACGATATAAAAAGAAAATAGATATATAGAGATGATCTCAAAGTTAGACAGCTTCACTAAGCTACATAAAAATATATAGTATATTACATATGTTTATAGCATAAATATATGTATGCACATATTATGCCTGTATTCATATATGTGGGTGTATGTGTGTGTATCTATATAGTTTGTTAAAGAATCCTTTGGAAAGAGCACTGACCTTGAAGTCAGGAGGACCTGAGTTCAAATCTGGCCTCAGACCAAATACTTGAAACTTACTAGCTGTGCAAGTCACTTAACCCCAATTGCCTAAAAAACCAAACCAAACCAAAACAAAAACCAGAATCCTTGTCTGAACTCCAAAAGACCTACAATGGGAAATGCTACCCATGCCCAGAAAAAGAACTATGGAGTCTGAATGCAGATTGAACCGTACTATTTACTCTCTTTTTATTTTGTTTTGTTTTATTTTGTTTCTTCTCTCTCGTGGTTCCTCTCATTGGATCTAATTCTTACTTACAACATCACTAATGTGAAAATATGTTTAATATGAATGTATATGTAGGGCCTGTATCAGATTGCTTGCCATCTTGAGAGGGGAGGAAAAGAAGGGGGAGAAAATTTGTAACTCAAAATCTTATGGAAGTGAATGTTGGAAACCAAAAATAAATAAATAAATTTTTTTTAAAAGAATAATAGCAAGATTAAAAAAAATCCTTGTCTGATTCATTTTACTCTATCATAAGCATGAAATTGTATAAATGTGTGAAATGTTTTTTTTTCCTCTCTCCCTCTCTCTAGGAATCTGAGAAAAAAGGTTTAATTAAAAGAATCTACATGGTCCAAGACATTATTACTACTGTTCAAAATGTCTTGGAGGAAATGGCATCTTTTGGAGAACGTATTAAAAAGTAAGTGTTATATAACCTGTTCAAATAGTTAAGGGCAGGACAATGTGACACAAATAGGCCGCAGAAAATATTCAGTTAAATATAAGAGAAATTTTGTTTCCTGCAAGTCCTATTTGACTTTGGATGGTCCGTGGCTAGAAGTGTGCATTCCTCACAATCACTTAACTCACTTAGAAGTGACACAGGAAGCAAATTTGCTTTTTATACTAAATGTTCTGAGTTAGAGCGTAGATGTCAAACTTGCTTCAAGTTTCAAAAGGCAAGGGTCCTGCAAAACGTGGGCCCTGAAAAACTCCCAATTAGATTAAATGTTAATTGGGAAATGTTTAACAAAATAAATAAAAATATGATACAACATAAATAATGTTAACTTGTGTTTTTTTTAAAAATCAATATGCAGCCTATAAGGATCTACTTCTATTTGAATCTGACTCAGTTAGAGGAGTAAGTAAAAAAGTTATTTTGCTTCTGATTCTATAGTTCCTGACTGTTATTATTTTTTTCTACTCTGAGCATTGTGCCCAATCTAATCCTCACTTGAACAGACTGTATTTGTATTCCCAGTGCCTGGCAAAGTGTATGGCACACCATAAGCACTTAATAAATGCCTGTTGACTAAATGAGAGGGTTTTTTTCTTTCTCTTAATAGCATGTGCCTGTTTCTTTTTCAAAAGCAAAGGCACGTCAGCCACACTGTTCTTCATGACATGTAGTGTTGAGTACTTGCTGCTAAATAGTAAGGATAGCTTCTGGTCTCAGCTATGAATACATGTGGATGTGGCATTGATTTTGATGGCAAAAAGGAAAAAAAACCCAAAAAAACAGTGACCTCAACATACTTCCTACCTGAACAAGCTACTTGGGAAATGACATTATAAAATATGAAAATGAAAAGTAGTAGTTGTTATTTTGCTCATTAGAGTATACATAATTTGACAAATGTTTGTTAACTCAGAAGTCAAAGTAGCTGAGAGACAGTGTGGTGTAGTGAACTAAGAACTAGTGTTGGCATCAAGAACACTTAGATTTGAGTCTTACTTCTGATAATCATTTAACTTCCTAGTGCCCCAGGCTTCTCTTTAAATCTGCAGTTCCCATAGCTGGTACTAACCTGCCTTGATAGAGGGAGTTTTTTTTCCCTAAAAGTAAAGGTGATAGAATAGAAGAAGTGTTATATTTGAATCAGAGCTTATGGGCCTAAATTCTGGCTCTGGCTTTTACCGACCTTGTGACCTGGTGAACTCTCAATGAAATTCAATGTCTTCATCTATAAAATAAAGATGCTAATAGTTGAACTAAATACCTTATATGGTTGCTTTTAGAAAATTACTTGTAAAACATAAAATACTATAATTTTAGTTGTTATAGCTATTCTTAACCTGCAACAAAACATTCAAATTATGAATATTTTTTCTACAGCTTTATAATTATCTTTTTCAGATAAATGTATATAAATAGTCTCATTTTTCTATTACCATAATAAGTACCTTTTGGGGATTGGAGATAAATTTTATTTTAATTTATTTGGTCCCAATTGAATCATACACTATTCATCTGCTTATGACTTAAGAGAAGAATTTTAAGAAAAGTAGGATTTCTACTGAAATGCATTATAAATTATCTTCTTCATTTTTTGTTAGGGACAAAAGCAATACTGACTAATATGCACTGAAATTAGCCTCGGAAATATTTTACTTCATGGAAGCACTAGCAGTAGGTAAAACAATAAAGTGGTGATGGTATAGAAGGAGCATCATCACGTAGGTGGCTAAAAGGCTCTAATTGTTTTAAAAGCTTCCATGAGCAAATATGTGCACTGAACGATTGGAACAGAGGAAAGGCTTTTTTTTTTAAAGGAAGACAGAAGAATGATTTAACAAAAATTTACAAGGGCTTTGAGGTTCTACCCTGCCTGTGCAGCTGTGGTGGTAATGTCTGAGACATATATTCCAGTCCATGAACAGGGTACTGTTCTGACCAGCTGCAATACAGGAAGGCTTCTAAAGCTCTGCTGCTATTAATTTGTTTGCTATTCATTTTGATAATAATGACATTAAAGAGCCTTTGTGCATTAAAGTGGGATGTCGTATGTAACTTCACTGGAATTCCATTGTAATTTGGTGTTCATGAACCAGGAAAAGTTTCACCCAACTTTTCTGCTACTGGTAGATCAACTGATTTAAGCAAAACCTTTGGAGTATAAAAGCTTTTTGTATATGTATACTTCTAGTTATATGTAATATCAGAGATACTTTAGACCCTTCATGTCATTACATTATTGCCTTGACACAAATTTATAACATGTTGAATTTTCATTTGATCCCTAGTATTTTAGTTATATTATATGATGTCTCAATCAACAAGTACGTGTTAAACATCTAGTACATAATAACTAGCATTTATATAAGATATTATATATCTTAAGGTTTCCAGAGTATTTTATATATTTTATTTCATTTAATCTTTACAATACCCTTGTGACGTAGGTGCTGTTATTATCTCCATTTTACAGTTAAGGAAACAGAGGCAAATAAAGATTAAGTGACTTGTCCAGGGTCAAACAGCTAATGATTTTATGAACTTTAAAACAATATGTGTATGTATATATATAATATATATGTGTATGTACACATATATATATTATATATTATATATATAATATGTAATATATATGTGTATGTACACATATATATTATATATTATATATATAATATGTATTATATATATGTGTGTGTGTATATATGTATATGTATATATGTATATACACACACACATATATGTATATATATTTGAATACATCTTTATGAATAGATGTTTGATAAATAATAAGGAATTATAAGCTCCTTCAGGACAGATACTATTTCATTTTTGCCCTTGTGCCTCTAGTGTCTGGTTGTAGTTGCTGATATGTGGCAGTAAGGTGATACGGTGGTCAAGGCATTAGACTTAGAAACATAGAGACATAGTTCAAACTCTGCTTCCAATGATTGGGCCATAATACTAATTCATTGCCACATACCAGAAGCCAGAGCTGAAACCTAAACCCCAGTCTTTTAATTCAAAAGCAGAGTTATTTCTAAATTCTATCTTATCATAATAGAATGTATTGCTAGCCAAGATGTACTGCTAGCCAATACAGAAAGTCAAAGACACAGTCTCTGACTTTTAATTGGAGTTCAAAGATTATACTTACATACACATACATATATGTATAACTATACTAAATAGTCATGGTCTAAGACAAACAAGTATAAAAATATTGGAACAGACAAGTACTGCCAGAATACAGCAGAGAAAGTTATTGTCAATAAGGGTGATTGAGGATGGTGTGGTAAAGCAGGCATGACTTGAGCTAGGCCTTCAAAATAAGTAGAAATTTGATAACATAACCGGAACTCTCTGGTGTTCCAGACAGTCAAAACTTATACAAAGACTCTATCAGTATGTGTAAGATACACCTAATAGTAGTCAATAGACAGTTCTGGGACAGTGAAATTCTATTCCAGAATAGTGGAAGATGAGTTTGGAAAGTTATATTAGAAACAGACAACCTTGAATTTTAGGATAAGGAATTTAAGCATCATACTATTAGCAGTGAAGAATATTTTGTGACCATAATATGATAACAACAATAGAATTTATATAACACTTTAAGATTTGCAAAGCACTTTACAGATATTTTATCATTTTGTCCTCACAACAACCCTAGGAACTAGGTACTATTGTTATCACCATTTTACAGCTGAGGAATCTGAGGAAGGCAGAGGTTAAGCAATTTGCTCAGGCTTTTAAGTAAGGGATTAATTTGAAGAAATATGCTATAAGGCTAGATTACTAGAATAAGAGTAAGAATTCCAGTCCTACTTCTGATACTTGCTGGCTCTGTGACCCCAGGCAAATCACATGATCTCTGTGAGTCTCAGTTTCCTCAGATGTAATAAGATGTTCCCCCACAAGGTTGTTTTGAGGTCCAAATGAAATCGCATGGAAATCATTTTGCAAACTCTAAAGTGATAATGTGTAAATATTCTCATCCTCATTGCCATTACTGAAGTCTTTTAGAAAGATTGATCTGCAAGAATTGTATAGAGAGAAATTAGTGGTAAGAAGGACAAGAAGATTGATTTAAGGCAAATATGAGGGGCAGATGTAATGTGTAAATTGGGAGTAGAAAAAAAAGAGCTAACATAGGAAGTTTTAAGGAGGTGCTACAAGCACCATAGGACTGTGGTGACTGAAATTAGTTATGGGAATTCAGTTAGGAAGGAGAAAATCAGACTAGCTTTCTGTGCCTGGGTAACCAGAAAAATGATGATGCCATCTATAGTTCTTTCTACAAAATATGTACTTTGAATTGCTTTGCCAAAAATAGTAAGAAATATTCCTTGATACCTTCAGACTCTTGTGCTGCCTTTCTCTGTAACCAACTGTTCTGCTTCTATCCATTATAATTGTGGAAGGAGATCTAGTCAATGTAAAGGACAGTGTCTCAGTCATACGCTTGTGAAGGTTATAAAGTTATTTATTCTATTGGGAGTATGTATTGAGGATGGAATAGTATTCAGCTAAATGCTCTCACTCCCAAATGAAGTTTTTAAGTCTCTCTTACGAGTAGGTATTTGGAGCTCTGAATATGAAAGGTACTTGATATAGAATGTTAAATGATCCTATGAATATACCTGTTCCTCAGTATTTATTTCCAAAAATAGATAACTAAAATAAAAACAGAACTAATGACCCAGAAGAAATCCCAGGAAATGAATCTTTACTAAGCCTCACTGACATCAAGGCATGTCTATCCTTAAACCTTCAAAGACAGTACATTCCATCCTAGTGTTAAGACTTACTAAGGGCCGATGGAAACTTTTTTTCTAGGATAATTACTGTTATGGTCAAAGCATGCTCTTTTGAATGGACAGTTTCATAAATATAAAGCTGCCAATATTCTGGCAGTCATCTTTCTAAGTGTCCCCTTGGCTTTTCAGAAAAGCAACTCTTACAGTTGCTTGACAGATTTCAAGTTTGTGTGGATCTTAAATAGATACAGCTTGGCATATAGTAAGCACTTAATAGATACATGATACATTGATATTCCAAGATTAATTTAATGTGATACCAAATATTTCAGAAACATCTTTATTAAGTTCCTCATTTTTCTACAGCACATTTAACTGGACGGTCCCATTCCTCTCTGGACTGGCCTGTTTAGCACTGGCAGCAGCCACCGTTATATTGTACTTCATACCACTGCGCTACATCATTTTAATATGGGGTAAGTTCTGCTTGGTTCTTCTCTCATTGAGTTTCAGGAAATAATACAGTTAATTCACATGGTAAAGCATGGACTACAAAATTTAACTGTGCTGTTGTTGACAATTAAATACAAGATTATAAAAATCACCTAGGGTAAAAAAAAAAATCCAGGACCTCCTTGAAATGATGATTTGCCCGGAAGATCATTTTGTGTGTGTGTGTGTGTGTGTGTGTGTGTGTGTGTGTGTGTGTATTGGTACATCTCTTACATAATGTTGAACAAACATATATATATATATATATATATATATATATATATATATATATATGTATAAAATTGTTTGTGCTTTGTCCCTTTGAATTTTCACAGTTATAACTACCCTAGAATAAAATACAGCTGAGCTTGTGCATCTTTGCAAGAAACTCAGTTTTTCATATATTGAATGAGCACCTAAAATGTGCCATCTATATAATATAAAAGTAAATCTAGACCCTTCTAAGGGTTTTCCCAACACTTCATCTCTCTCTGAAGAAAAAACAAAATAAACTAACACAGTCTGTAAATCCAAAAGCATTTAAAGAAATAGTCTATGCCTCCCTGACTAATGCCTCAAAGATGGGGAAACTATTTATGGAAAGAGAAAAAAAAGACACTATTGTATCTATGTATGGCTCTATTGTTTTTTTTTCTTTTTTAGAAACAGAAATGGCAAATATATAGGAAATGTTAGAGCTGTTTTTAATACTCTTGATAACACTTATGCTTTAGTACTCTTGGTAATAAATAGCGCTGGGCATAGCCTCTGGTTAGGCTCTGTGTTCTGCTGTGATATGAAGAGAACTCACCAGGATGTATTTTAATGGGTTTGGGAAGCTGGTTAATTTTGAAAGATCTTTTGAGCCTTGACCCAAATTTCTGACTGAACCTTTTTCATTGGAACTCTATCAATCATGACTTCTCAATGCCAACATCCTGGTTCTTGCTGCTATCTAGTCTCTTACCACTTCTGACATTCTTCAGACTCTGTAACTTGGAGGAAAGCTGTATACAGATGGGACAGTGTCCTCCAGGAAGCAATAGTGTCTGAGACATGGGACCTTTTTTTCTAAGAAGGAGCAAGGGTTCAGCAAAAGCTGATAAATCCACCACTTTGTTATAAAGGAACATGTATAGAACTCAGACAGAATTCTTAAAATGAAATTTTATTTGGATTTGAAAGAAATGAAAATACGGGCTTTTGGAAATGGGGAGACTGTTAGGGGGATTGATTAAATTTTATCTTACTTATCCATTCTCTATTTATGTCATACTTGTACATGGCTAGCCCCTTACAATTTTTCATTTATATGTTTTTCTAGCCAAGGAAGCTTAGCCAACATTTGTTCTTATTGACCCTAATTCTTTCTGCTTCTCTTCTTGCATTTACCAAAATCACTTGAAATAGATTTTTGGGGGGCAGCTAGGTGGCACAGTGTATGGAGCACCAGCCCTGAAGTCAGGAGGACCTGAGTTCAAATCTGACCTCAGACCAGACACTTAACACTTACTAGCTGTGTGACCCTGGGCAAGTCACTTAACCCCAATTGCCTCACCAAAAAAAAAAAATTGTGTGTGGGTATGTGTGTGTGTGTGCGTGTATATACATACATACATATATATATATATATATTTTTTTTTTAAAGGTCCTGGCTACTCCTCCCTTCAATTTGGCTTAATTTGAATTTACATTGTTATCATTGAATACTGCAGAAGGACCACAGGACTTTTTGTTATAACACAAGATATTGATATTGATCCCTTGATCGCTGTGTGCTGCCATTTAGTATGTTTTGTCATTTATTGATTGCATTGTTTAGGACAAAAATCTCAAGCTTTATAATAGGTTATCAACTGCTTTCTCTCATTCTTTTGGGCCTACCATGCTGGCACAGAATATTAAATTATTTTGATAGTAGTACTCATCCTTTGCAAAAGTGTCTTGATTGTAACTCAGTAACCTGATCTTTTTAATTTTAGCTTGCAATTTATATAATGTTTAATTTTCCAGAATTTTTGAAAACTTTTATTTAATTTTATATCACCTGGGTTATTCTTTTTTTCTCTTAATTTTTAATGAAAAGAAAAAATATTACTTCAATATTATTTTTTCAGGGAACTTCTAGTCTTCCATGCACACTCAAAATGATAATTAAATACCCTGCTGGGACTCTCCCCCCTCATTTTGAAGTTTAGATTATTCTAGTGTGTAAGATTCATACAGTATTTACTATAGTATCATGTACAATATATAAACATTTTCCATTATTAATAATAAGCTGATGTCTGGGAATCACCCAGGAAATTTGGTCTCACTATTCACTATGTGATACATTTTTTGCCTTGTTAAATTGTAAATTTCTTGTGAATAGAAACATATCCTGTTGTTCTTCCTTTGTACATTTCATCTTTTTCCCAGTATAGTGCAACGCACACGATAAATTCTTACTACATTCTTTTTAAATGTGAGTAAGGTGTTTATGGGTCATAGGACCAACAAAATGACAAAGTAGGCACTTTCTCTACCTCCTACTTACAAATGCTCCAAAGAAAAAAAAGTTTATTTATGTGTGTGCATCTGTGTGTATGTGTATATATACATATATATCATATATAGTATAGTTACAGGACAAAAACCCACATGAGAAAAAAAGAGATTAGACAAAACCAGAAAAGAGTAATCTATTTTTCTTGGTATATATTACCTTTCTGCAAGGAAAGCCCACCTGTTCTGAAATGTCTAAACTCCCCTAATTGTGCATTTGGACATGAAAATTTGTCTTTACTGTTTTAGTTGGACAAATCAAGTGATAGCTATGATTGTTACATAGTTTATCAAAGTAGCATATCTTGTCTTCTAGCTTTTTTTTCTTTTGTTTGAATTTTCTATCTTACAATGACTTACTATTTCTACTTTTTCTAGAACTCATCTTTCTTAAAGAACTTTCTTGATTCTTCTATATTTCTGACTACTCATTTTCTTTTTCCTTCGTTGATACCTCTTACTTCCTCCTCCCACCACAAGGCACTATCATTGTCCTTCGATTCTTTATCTCCAATGATGAAAATTTAGGCTTGATGTCAAGAAACACTAATAGAGCTGTCCAAAAGTAGAATGCATTTTTCTTCATTGGAAGTCTTGAAGCATAGGCTAAGTGATCAAATATCAGATATGTTATAGTGAAGATTTCTTTCAGTTCTGATGGTGTGGGGCTGAACCTGTGCTAGCTTGAGTTAACCTCCCCAACTCTGCACCTATACCTAGGGTTATTTTGAGCCAAGACATTGGGGAACAGACAAGGGCAGTTTGAGTTAACTTTGTCCCTAAGTAGACTGACCTAATGGCTGGCTATGGGCCCTTTTGGTAAAGAGCATATAAGGATGACTCTATGGATCAAGAAAAGTGTCTAAGAGCTCATTTAAACCTTCTTGTGATATGCTTTTATCTCATTGTAGGCTACATTTCCCTGTAGGTGATGGAGTGTGCAGTAAATTTTTTTTTAAAATCTGAAAACTCAGGCTCTGAGTGATCCATGGCACTGGATACAGAAATCCTCTCAGGATCTACATGTTGCATTAGATGACCACTGAGGTCTCTTCCAACTCCAGAGAGGAGAGAGCATTCAGTAGGAAAATGTAGCCAAGATATTGTTTTATTTATCTTTGTGTCTTCCTCAGCATCTGCCACACTACCTTGAATGTAGTAGGCTCTCAAATAGTTTGAATTGAGCTAAAATATAGAATTATAGACCCTCAGAGTTAGGAAGGATTTTAGGTATCTTATAATCTACCCTTTACCTGAATGGGAATCACCTCAAGGAGATTCCATGAAAATGATCATCTACGTCTCCTTGAAGATCTGTGTAGATAGCTTAGTCCTCAAGGCAGACCATAACCCTTGTGCACAGATTTAATTCTGAGGATTTTCCTTATCTTGAGTCAAAAGATACCTCTCAGCAACTCGTGACTCCTAGGTTTGCCTTCTGGTGTTAAGCAAAACTCAAAAGCTCTTTAGATATTTGAAAACAAATCTTATATCCCCACCTCCAGCCCAATAAAGATATCTCTTATCTGGGCTAACACTACCTAGTTCCTTCCATATGGCATAGGTTCAAGTCCCTTTACCATCTGGTCACTCTCCTCTAAGTATATCCCAGCTTGTCAGTCTCCCTTCTAAAATATTATTCTCAAAACTGAACACAATAATCCATATGTGATCCAACTGACAGGTCCAACCTCCATCATTATAGAGTGTATGATTACGTTAATTCAGCTGATATTAGCATTAGCCTTTTTTGCCTGCCTCATCATATTATTGATTCATTGAACTTGCAATCTACAAAAACACCAATCTCTTTTTTTCACCTAAACTATTATCTAACTAGTTCTTCTCTCCCCTTCCCTGCTTCCTGGGGAGATGATTCTTCTGATCCAAAAGTAGAACTTTGATTTATAAGCACCAAATTTTATCTTATTAGATTTGGCTTATCGTCTCTAGCCCATTTCAATATTTTGAGATCTAGATTCTGTTTTTCCATGCCTCCAAACTTTCTGTCATCTTCATATTTGATGAGCAACTATGTGCTTTGAACATTGACAAAAATGTTGAACATATTAAGATCAAGAGCAGATTTCTGTGGTAATGTGACATTTATCATAATTCCTTGATACTATAATCGTAAGATTTAGATCTGGAAGAAACCTTATAATCTAGTCCACTTTACAGAGAAATTGAAGCCTTGATTTGTCCAAGGTCAGTTGCTATACATAGTAAATATCAGATCTGGGATTCCAACATAATCTTGTCATTTAATTTACATAATTTACAAAGCTGTATTACCATTTAGCCCACTTGTTTGCTTCACACTATTAGACACTCTACCAAAATCCTTCCCAAAATTCAGGTATATTATATCTAAAGCATGATAGATAATTATATGATGAATCAATTTAATCACTGTGTGAAAGGAAATTATTTTAGACAGACTGATCATCTGAATGATCCCATGTCAGCTTGTAGTCATCTCAGTTTCCTTTTCTAAGTGCCAACAAAACACATCTTATTAATTATCTAAAATTTTGAATTGAAAGCAAACTCAAAAGCTAGAGTGATACAGAATGTAGTTTAATATCTTCCTTTCTTCATTAGCCAGTCTCTTCCTAAAAATATTAGGCTAATTTTTTTATGTGAATGTCACATCGCATGGTCAAGGAAGCTGAAAAATGGGGGCAGCATCACTTGTGAATTTGAAAGACAACTCATGGTGTCTTTCTAATAATCCCTTCCCATAGCAGAGAGGACTGAAGGAAATCCTGTCCTTTATGTCTACTTTCCTGTCCAAAACTCTGTATTCTTTTAAATTAACATAGCCTTAGATCTGATAATATCATTTGTGTCCATATTATATGCAAATGATTTGTCCTCTCAAATAATTTTTTACCTTGATTTTTTTGGATTTAGGCCTGCAATAAACTACACATCCTGGGAACCTTCATGGTAGCAAATCTCTCTCTCTCTCTTCCTCTCTCTCTCTCTCTCTCTCTCTCTCTCTCTCTCTCTCTCTCTCTCTCTCTCTCCCTCTCTCTCTCTCTCTCTCTTTCTCTCTCTCTCCTTCACTCTCCCTTTTTTATTATCGAGTAATAACCCAATGCTACTATTCTTTTATTTATCATTGTATATGACCTTAGATTCTCAATTCCCTGGGTTGAGCTAATTCTACTCTTCCAGGGCAAAAGTGGTCCCCTGTGTATTTGTAACTAGGACTATATTTGCCAATAACACTTACAAAAATAGTGATATAAAGCTATACCCAGCGGTGGTCTGAAGGTAGACTACAGAGGATCTGGTCTTTTTTTTTTCTAATCTGACTCCTTCCTTTAAAAAAAAAAAAAGACTTCATATTCTTCCTTTGGTTGAGTTCTTCCCATCAACCATCTTTCATAGGCTTGTAGACCCTTTCAGTATTGTACATTTACTAGTTTCCCAAAAGAGCAAATCACCACATCAGACATTCCTATGCTCCTTGTTATTCTGCTAAAGTATTCAAACTGCATGCCCACAATGGGATCCTGTTTCCATCTGGACTAGGCATTGGGAGCACTTTTTAATTTCCATAGCTTATCCTCATTTCTTATATTGTTTCAAGGGCTTGCTCATCACTGTATCATTTGCCTTTCTTAATTCAAGATGACTCCTGGGTTTCTGGCCCTTGGCCTCATACTGAAGAAAATTGTATGTGACTAAAAAAAAAAATCAAGCCCACAAAACCTTATAAACTAAGGTATGCTTTTGAAATGTTTGATCTTAATATAAATTTTTTATTCTAACTAAGCTTTTCAGTTTACTTCAGACAGCTTCAGTACGTTGTGGACAACTTCTGCCTTTATTGGTACATTTGAGCTACTGTTCAGGTTTATAATCTTCTCAGTCACTAAGAATGCAATGTTTTGATCGGTTGTGATATTATCCTTGCCTTGCTGTTCATTGTAAAGACTCCAGATGCACACACTATATATAATTAACAATAGAAGATATATCTTTTCTCAATACGTCTTTGTCTCCCTTCATCGTTTTCCCTTGTCTGTTTTCTTTTGCCAGAAAAGCCCACAATTAAATTTCTTCAGACCAGCATAGTTGAGTGTATTTTCGTTTAAAGAAGCTATGGAGAAATTTTAGCTAGAAGCATGAATTTTTCGTGGGGGTAGAGGGAAAAAAAGCCCTGGTGGGAACAGCCTTTTGTCAAGGAAAAGGGTACCATTACTGAGCAGCCTTTCACTGTCAAACCACCACATGATCCTGTATTTCTGGACAATGGTCAGTTCCTATTAGCTCTAGGGTAGTAAAGCAGTTGTTAATCTCCCTTTCAGCATAAATGGAGGTTGGCAGTATGGGGGATAATAACACGGAGGAAACCAGAACTGGAGATGAAAGTGAAACGATATTTAATGCAATAAGAAAACCCCCAACCTTTCTTGTGTGTGGAAAAAGTTCAATAGAGAAGTGTTATTTCTGATTCTTTGTATAAGACTGAGTACATGCAAACTATGCATCCACTCAGCATCATTGAGACTGACAGAGCCTTCAGATATGACCCATGTTAAACAAGAATCCTATGGCAAAGCTTTGAAGACCACCTAGAATTTGTCCTTTTAAAAAAAATCATATTTATAACAAACGGAGATGACATATGGTAAAAATAAGATAGCTTAAGAGCCACTGGTCATACATTGAGCCAGATACATTCTGAGAAACAGAGAGAAATGGTGACAATAGGTTGTGGAGGTTACATCTCCTGTGGGAGAAAACACACATAGAGGGAGGGCTCAGTCTGAACTTGCATGTTGACATAAGTTATAGACACCTCTGTGGGAGTTTGCAGCATATTGACATCTTAAATGTTGATTCCACCTTCTAATTATCATCAGCCAAATCCTAAATTAACATTCACTTCACTGCTGAGAAAACTAGAAGTGATATTACAGTGGTTGATAAATAATATGGTTTGTAACCATATTAAGATAATTTTCCAATAATAACTTTTCATAGTTTCTTGCATAATAGACGTGTCAAGTTCTGTTCTATAGCAAAAGGACCTGGGAAAATTATTGAAGGGAAGAAGAGTGGGGTTGGGGTGGATTTAAAAACACAAAACAAAACGGAACAAAGAAGCCAAAAAAACAAAAAACAAAAGAAACCCTCTCATTCCCCTTTCCCTTCTCTCCCTCCCTCCCTAACCTTCTCTCCAATACATTTTGTCTAAAGCCATCAGGCAGGAACATGTTTGGGCTAATAAAGGCCTTTTCCCTTCTGGGACATTTGTTTTCATAGCAGAATAGTCTGTTAATCAGTATATTCCAAAAAAGCACATGAGCTCCACAGTTTCTGCTTGTGTACCTTCTACCCTGCTGCTGAGGCTGTAATGGGATTTTCACAACTAAAGCAAGCTGAGTTCTTTTTCTCTCTTTCCCCCCTTCCTTCCTCCAAAAAAAGGCATTTGTGAATGATTCCACATGACAGCAACATGTGCATGACTTGAGGTCTAGTAATTGTTTTCACACTAATTTTTACTTGTGAATTTCCCTCCCCACCCCCACTCTCATCACCACCACTTGGCCAAGAGAGTTTGCAAAAATATACAAAAATAAAAAAGGCCCTGTGTTTCTGGGTTTGTTTTTTTTTTAGGCATAAATAAATTTACTAAGAAGCTTAGAAATCCCTATGCCATCGACAATAATGAGCTACTAGATTTCCTCTCCAGGGTACCATCTGATGTTCAAAAGGTAAGTAATGAATGACCACCACCAACAGGGGCATCAGGCAGCAGTAGCATTGCCCGCCACTGTGAAGGAAGAATACAATGCTCCAGCTTTTTGAATAACAGAGATAAGAAATCAGAAAATCCATAAAGGGAGATGGATAGCAGGGGAGGCAGCTACAAAACCTTTGTCAAAAGCATAAGATGACTGTGGAAAATTATCCTGAAAAAGAGCTGCTTAAAAATGATCTGGAACTCACACCAAGTGGCCACCGAGCAATGTTTTTCTCACCTTTTTGCTCTCTGGCTTCCCTGAAGGGGATAAAATACACTCACTAAGTGACAGAGATACAATGCCTGGGGAGGTTTTACTTATTTTTTCCCACTTCCAGATGAAGAGATGTTGGGAGGAGGGGGATTATTCTTTTCATTTTATGCTTGCCAAGATTATCTGCTTGGTGGGATAAACTCCCATATTTTTCTTCTGCAAACCTAGGAATCCACAGTCATAGAAAATGTTAGAGCTAGGAAAGAGCATAGACATCATCTAATCTAACCTTGCTATGTTCTAGATGAGGAAACTGAGGTATGAAGAGATGAAGCAAAGTCAAGGAAACATGAGATTGATGAGAGAGATGGGACTAGAATCCAGGTCTCCTGAATCTATTCAATTTTAAGCCCCATTTACTTCTAATAAGTATAGACTAAGGAACTGAATAGAAGGACTCGAGATCAATAAAAAAGCAGTATTAGCAGATGGTTATAATTCAATCTGGTAACGTCCTCTCTTCCCAAATTTATTGAGATAAAAAATCCAAGTAAGATATTGTACATAACTAGTCTTATTTGATTGGCTATTCCTTCTCCTGACCTGCTAGAGTCCTAGAGAAGAGGCAGTATGTTTTGTTTTTGTTTTTTTTGTTTTATAATTTGTGTTTTATTTTTTAATGGAAGCTATCACAGGTGCAGAACAAATAGGAGATAGAGGGTTGGTGCTTAGGGAGACATTTAGTGGTAAATTTAAGAGAAGTAATCAAACAAATGAGCCATTTTCTGAAAGAACCTAAAATCAGATCTTGTTTCTAATCTGTGAGAGATTATAAAATAATTGTCAATATACCCTTGGGCATATTTACATAAAATCATAACTTCAAAAGCTTGTAGACTCCTTTAAAGTGTTTGTAAATTGAGGAAAGAGTTCCTTGGTTATCCTTATTCATTTTCCACTATTATTTGAACAGTGTGTGTTCAATGTGTTGTTGGTTTGTCCTTTGACATTTACATTTCAAGGCAAAGATAGCCCAATTCCTATTTGTGTAATATTTGAGATTTATATTTATAACATTCCCCTAAATGGGTCTGTCCTCCTTAGGGATCATCTCTGAATACTCTAAGGAAGTAGATGCTTTTTTCATTTATTTTCTTGTGAGGGAGTGTTGCTAGAATCTGTGAGATAGAATATACAGTCCTAAGAGAGTTTGGCACAAACACCAAAACTAGTGAGCACATGTGGCATGTAATCCAATATCATAAATTAAAGCCATGACACCATGCATATCTCAGAACTCCTGCTCTGGACCACTTTGTGCTCATGGCTCATCATCACTTATGTAAGTACTTGTGAGTCCAATTCTCTAGTCTTCCTAGTAGTTGAAATTCTCATCAAAACTGTTCAGTGACATATCTGCACACAGACTAAAGACTGATGCTCATAGCATTAAGACCAGTTTGTTGCTGGCACAAGAAAAAAAAGAGGATTAAGGGAAGATATACTGTACCATGAGTAAGAATCTCAGTGCTTCACTGGAAGTACTTTTCAATTATACAATAGACAGTTTGCCACTAGGGATTCTACCATGGTCATATTTATCACATGTGTTTTAGCCATTTTACTGTAAACTGAATTCATTTTAAACAGAAGCAGATATAATTCTTGGGACCAGTATCAGATTTGGCATGTTTTCCCTTTGAGGAAAAATAAATATGTGTAATTTGCTGATATTTTTCAAATTTTGAGATGGTCATTTAAGAATGAATAATTCTGAAAAAGTTATTCTGCTGTACACTTAGACACACATGCTTTGCAAAGCCCCCAGAGACTGTTATTAAACTTACTTATAGGTTAATACTGGCACATACAAAAATAATCTTGTAGTGCTGAGAGCAGGTAGAAATCCATGCATCTCATTAGGAAAATCTGCTTTTAATATTTTGGTTTCATGAAATGATGCATGACTTCTCAAATCCTTCCTGCAATTAATCCCCCATGTTCCTGTGTTTAGAAAATGATTCATTACTTTTGAACCTTCCTTAGTTTCCCTTGGTTCGTCCTTGGGGAGCCATTAACACACACTGTAGTGAGCTTGAGTTACCTAGCTGCAAACGTCATGTCTATTTGTTTTTACAGGTGCAGTATGCTGAATTGAAACCATACAGCAACCACAGTCCCCTTAGGAAGAAGCGGAGTGCTCTCTAGGACACATACCGACTTTGGAATGCAGCATCTCTTTTTTGGGTTTGGTTTGGACCAGCACTAAAACCAGTCATGTCCATATAGTCATTCTGGAAGGGCATATTTGTTTCACATTCTCCCAACTGCCTCCCTGTAGGAACACATGGAGTATTGGCATTATTGTTTTTGCGCAGAGGGTCAGCCCAATTGGTGGAGGCAATCCAAGGAATGTGCACAATTGTTCCATTCTCAGAAGAACTGGAGTGAGACCTTCAGTATTTCGGCTTCCCCATTGGAGAATACCAATGACTAGTTTGCCCAAGGACATCTAGACGTCTTGGACTCAGGAGAAACTTTGACCTTTTTAAATTCCTCTAACAGGTTTACCATTAAGATTTTAGAGTTATTTTTTACATCTTCATTTAGATAATTGTTCACTTAAAAGGTTTTGTTCTAATATATTTGATGCCCATCATCTTTTCAAATAATGTATAATTTAAAATATGTATCTCATGATGGCCAGAAGGGCAAAAAAAGCTGAAGCTTCAATGATGTCTTAGTAGCTATTATCTAGTTGCAATCAATTTCTTGGTGCTGGATGCCATGTTGCTCCATAAGATCCATTGCTGGCAATGGACATGTCAGAAGCAACCAATTTGAATAAATTAAAGAAATACAATCTTCTGACCCACAAAGAGTTTATTTTCAATTATCATTCTAATACTATCTCATTGATTTTTATCTTCATTTGCTTTTGTTTGTCAAAAAGACTCAACACTACTGTTTTAGAAATAATACATTTTTTAAATGTGAGTGAAGGGACAAAAAAAGATAAGGTCTCTGGTGACTAAAATTATTTCTTCCGGTAATTGATTACTCTATGTAAGTGCGTCTCTTCTAATGATCTTCTCCAGTGTTTTATTCTGACATAAGAGGTGGCACTGAATCTCCAAAGGCCTATGTTAGCAAAACCCTAGTTCTGGCAGTTTCTACCAGGATGGAAAGAAAGGTTTAAGACCTGAGATTTAGGGGGGAGAAGGATCTCAGAGGCCATCTAGTTTGAGCACGATGAAATGGTTGAACTCAGAGACTCAGAGACATAGTAACAGAGGTATGATATGAGTCCAGGTCTTATAGGCCTAGGAATAAACTGCATGTTTTTTGCAGGACCAGACTAGCTAAATGTATCATCATGATGTTGGACAAAGGATGAGAGATTTTTGGGGGGAGGGATTGGTGCAGAATGCCTCTAAAATTTCAGCTGTTATTTCTTTCATGTGCTGATGGAGCAGAAGGCCCACAACAGTGGGATTCTTGATCCTTGAAGAATCTTTAAAATTAATTGGTTTATGGCTAAAAAATAAGATTTGTTCATTTAATTCAGTACACATTTATTAAGTTCCTACAACCTCCAGGTACTATGTTAGTCACTGGACACACCAAAACAAAAAAAGACATGGCCTTTGCCTTCAAGGAACTTATATGCCATTGGATTTAATTTATGGACTTCTTTAGGTTGGCTTTCTAATACTGGATCTAGGATTCCTGTTCTGATCATAAGTAATATGCACAATTAGAATTTGTCCTAAAATCCTACTATAGGTCAGGAAGCAAAAGCAATCTAAGAATGGAAAGTAATTTCTACCTGTTTGCCCATCCATCTCCATAATGTTACAGAACATTTGTTGTTTCCCAAATAATTAAAAATGTTTATTCTGTCAAAATGTAGAATTAAATGAAATACTCTTTTCAAATGAAATTTAAGTCTATAAAAATGTATTTTGTTGACACATAACTTCGTATGTGCAGTTTTGTATATATGTATAAAAATAAGTCGGAAAACAAACTAGACTTGCTTTAATAGTTTTAGTATTTTTTCTAGGTTGTAATTTAATAATCTTCAAATGAAATATTTGTGAAAAATGCCAAAGATTTTAAACCTTATCATCCCATGTCTGTTTTTCTTCATATTGTATCTTTCCTGGGTTGTCTTTCTGGCTGAGCCAGATTTCTGCATGATTTGATTTACTTCAAGTTAATGAAGCTGGTTGGAGAGAGCTTCGTAAAAATTACAATAGCTTCAGTAAAGCTCTTACTTGTACATACAATAGATACCCAAGAATCTCTTTTGTTCAACCAGTTACTCAATCTTCTGTGTAAACAATGCCTCATTGTCTCCTTCCCAACTATCATCTAGTTTATCATAGTCTGTTATTTTGTAAGGACCTAAGGCAGACATTTTTAAACAGACATGTGAGATCCGATCAGTCATTTCAATGAAAATTTTCAGCAGCCAAATAACCCCTATTTATTCGGAAGTAAAACCAGTATTTTATCAGCATTCTTTTGTATAGGATTTTCAAAATGAAATAATTGACTGGTCAGAAAGCATAGTAAATTGGCCTTTTTAAATTTTTAAAATTTTTTTTTAACCATTACCTGACTCTGGGACTCATTCATTGCATTAGTTGAGCACACAAGGAATGTACTCTTCAAATAAGCCTGGTGAGCAAAAAATTTCAAATACATCATCTGATAAAGGATCTTTTTGTTATTTGAATAAGCAGACATTAGAATTCAACAAACATTTTATTAGGAAAGAGCTGATGCTTAACGTCAGTCGTCAGAAATGACCTTTGTGTTGATATTAATGTTTTCTAGACTTGTGATCACATTATGTGGGTACTCTTTCCAATCATGCAAATCATAACCCATCCATACCTGCATGTTCTTTGGGAATCTTGAACATAACTTCCCATAAAACCAACACAAAAAGTCCACCCAACGTACAGAGGCTGCCCATGCTTTCTTTAAACAACACATGGACATCAGTAGAGGATGCAAGCTATCTATTGCTTAACCATCTCTCTTTAACTGTACCTGCTAGGTGCAGCAGTGAATAGAGTACTGGGGTTAGAATTGGGAAAGACTGATCTTCATGAGTTCAAATCTGGCCTCAGATACTTCCTAGTTCTGTGACCCTGGGCAAGTCACTTAACTCTGTTTGCCTCAGTTCTTCATCTGCAAAATGAGCTAGAAAGGAAATGGCAAACCACTCCAGTATCTTTGCCATGAAAACCCCAAATGACATCATGAAGAGTTGGACATGACTGAACAGCAACTTGAACTGTGACTGGCTCATTGGTTTTTTTCCAGTCATATATTTCTCTGACAGCATACTTTATATCACTTCTCCTACATAATTTTTCATTTGTAATGTTCTACATGAGAATTAAGAAGGTTAGCTTTTGTTTCAGAAAGAGGGAGGGGAGCAGTCCATCCCAATTTTCTCCTCCTTGATTTCTTTTCTATGTTTCTATCTGAGGTAAGAGTCTGCATGGTACAGTGGAAAGACCACTGAGTCTGAAGTTAGAGGGTCCAGGGTCAAATTCTACTTTGGCTACTTTGTATTGTATGAACTTGAGTGAATAGCTTAGCATCCAAAGACCTCATTTTCTTCATCTGTAAAATGAAAGAGTTGGAATAGAGATCAGAGCTTCTTAAACTTTTTCTACCTGCAACCCCTTTTTGTGTTTCAGCAGCATTCATTGGTGTTGTGTGGGTGTGGCAGCACATAAAGTATGCCTGTTGTATGTTTAGAACCAAGGCTACAGCAAAGTTGTATGATGCAACACAGGCAAGGAGTGCCAGAAACACCTAGGATTAATTATGCATTTGATTTTTAGTTATTTTTGGTCTTTGAGCATTTACCGTTGCCAAATTTTTGTTGGGGTTGCGACCGTTGGTTTAAGAAGCACTGGCCTAGATGACGTCTACTATAATTCTAGATCTTTGATTCTGTGATCCAGAATGAATGCTATGTTTTGCTATTCTAACTTCATAACTATTCATTAAAATATAAATTTATTGAGAGTAGGGATCTTCATTCTTTACATTTGTATCTCCACCATTTAGTACCTGATATATAGTAGGTGCTTAATAAATGCTTGCTGATTGGTCAAAAATTAGTAAAGAAACAAACAACTGTATTTTTCATTCACTTAGTTTTCCCAATGTGCATAGTTAGACCAGGGAGCATTCGAGTGATTACAGAACCTCTTAATGAGATCCAAAATGTTCTAATGTTTGATGCAGTTAGTATATAATAAATAAGTAGGGTTATATGAACAACGCCTTTTATTTCAAAGATAGACACCTTTGTCATGCATATATTTTCCTGTTTTATACCTCACTGGCTTCTCAATGGTAAGGACTGAAGTATTGTATTCTCTGATTTTCTTGAAATTGTGTGATTATCAAGATTTGGTCTACTATGAAAAATCATTTGGATTTTTCTTAAATTTTCATCAAGTATATTCTTAATGTGTGTGTGTGGATTTCCACCATAAAAATGTTAACTAGATGACAAAGTAGCCATTTGGTTCAGTAGTTACTTGATGCTATTTCGGTTGTCTTATTCTGGTAATAAGAGCCAAGATTTTTTTCTCTATGTCTTCAGTAGGTTCCTTTATTTCCAGTCACTCAATTGACAATCAATTCCTTAACATTCTCAAAATTATATTGCCTTGGATCTCCTCTACTATGTATGCTTGTTCTGGTTTCCCTATCTTTGTTTTCTTCACTACCATTTACATCAAGGACTGTAACATCAAGTCCAAATGTGATGTCTCCACCACCCTTGATAGTAAAAAGAATTTATTGTATACATTTTTACATATCTTCAGCATTTTTTCATCTATTGATTGTTGCCCTTGTTCCTATCTTTAAATGGCCTATCTGCTTAATAGAATCACTTGACTAGCTTTCATTAAACTTATTTTTTCCTCCTCGAATTCTTCTCATTGTCATATGAGGGTGATATTGCTAATAATATTCTACCATTCTTCCCCATAAGATGTTACAAACAAGTTTTATTCTAAGCCAATGTACCCACTGGATACAGAATCTCTGCTTCGCAAAGAGAGAAAGTATTTTCTGGCTGAAATTATTCTAGGCTCTTTTGGTCTCATGCCAGTCAATTTACATTGGTTAAACTTCTTTATGAAATTGTCAATGCTTATTCCGCCATTCATTTACCATTTTTGTCGTTACCAACTAGTTTAAGTAGGTCACGTTGGAATTGTTTTCATTATACTCCAGACTTATTCTCATTTTTATTATCCAAGTTTTTATAAAATTTAATTTTTACTCTCACAAATTGATTGTATAATTAGCTGATTCAGAAGTGACTCATACATTAGAAATGGATGATTCTCATAGGACTGAAGACCATTTTCTATTTTATTTTTGATTCCATAGGTTGCTTTGACTAAAGAATGAATCAACATATGACCATCCCACTGATGATGAGATTCTTTGTACTTAGCTATGCTGGTCTTTAGAAGAAGATATGGTTTATTGACAGATTATATAGCATGGTAGAACCTGACAGAATGTAGCAACATTGCTCTTGAGAATCTAGGATCATTTCATGCCTCAATGAGGCACCAAAGTAGGACTTTGCAGACAGCTTCTAGAAAAGTTTAGACAAATTTGTAACCTATAAACCTTTTATATGTTATGAAGGGAAGATTATGGGTGCTAGAGTATGTTCATATCTTCTGAAGGCTATACCAAAGAAAGTTACTACTACTATACTTTCTCCCAAAAACTTTTTAGGCACCATTGTCAAAAATAGAGTTCTAGAATAAAGCAACTATTGGCAACTTTGGAATTTATTATGTAATAGAGAAAATATAATTTTATAACTGGAAGGAAGCTCAGAAATTACATCTCAGATTCCTCATTTGTTAACTCAAGGGATCTGTGACTCAAAGAGGATAAATTATTTTTTCCAAGACCACCGAGCTAGAACCTAGGTCTCAAACCTAGGCTTTACAGCTTTTAGTGATGCCACACTGCCATAAATACCACAAATCCTGAAGAATAAAATTTTGAGGTGACCCAAAGGCCAACAGAAAACTACATTGCAAAAGCAAGCAATTTGAAGTATATTAATATTAGTTGGAAACATTTCTTTATATGACCAACAAAGCCCAGCAGCAAAGTGATGGGTCAGACAAGTAACAAGAGCAAGAGATAACAAATGGAAAGTCTGACTTTTCCACTCATACTCACAAAATGTTAAAAGACCTAGACGACATATGCCAGGAATGCAGGGTTGGTTCAATATTAGGAAAACTGTAAACATAATTGACCATATCAATAACAAAACCAACAGAAATCACATGATTATCTCAATAGATGCTGAAAAAACTTTTTTTTTCTTTACAAAATACACTACCTGTTCCTATTAAGCACAAACACTCAAGAGCATAGGAATAAAGGTAGTGTTTCTTAAAATGATATACAGTCTTTAGGTAAAACCATCAGCAAGGATCATCTGTAATAGGGATAAGCTAGAATCATTCCCAGTAAAATCAAGGGTGAAACAAGAATGCCCATTATCACCACTGTTATTCAATATAATACTGGAAATGTTAGGCTATATCAATGAGAAGAAAAATTAATTGAAGAAATTAGAATAGGCAATGAGGAAACAAAAATCTTGCTTTTTACAGATGGTGTGATGATATACTTAGAGAACCCTAGAGAATCAGCTAAAAAACTACTTTGAAATATTTACAACTTTAGCAAAGTTTCAGGACATAAGATAAACCCAAGTAAATCAATAGTATTTTTATATGAGCAACAAAGCCCAGCAGCAAGAGATAGAAAGATAAATTCCATTTAAAATAACTGTAAAACTATTGGGGGTCTCCCTGCCAAGACAAACCCAGGAACTATATGAACACAATC